GGCGTTGGCGCGCAAGAACCTCCTCGGCCATGTGCAAGTCAAGTCGGAGAACGCGATGTTGCCACGCTCGGCGGAGTGGGAAGTTTCCGACATGAAGGCCCTGGGCATTCTGGTTCAGTTGCTCAGCCCCAGGTACCAAACAATGCTGAGAGAGTCGAGATCAGCCCGTAAAGCTTGGGAGACGCTACGGACATTCTTCGTCCAGAAGAATCTACATAACCGCGTACAGCTGCGCAACCAGCTACATGATTTCGAGATGGCCCCCGATGAGAATTTGATGGACCATTTGATGCGTTTCGAGGACCTCTTCTTGAGGCTGACTGGTGTGGGCCAGACAGTGACAGACGACGAGAAACTAGTTATTCTGTTGGGGAGTTTGCCTGCAGAATATGACGGGATGATTAGAATCATCGAGGCCCACGGGTCTGTGACGTTGCTGGATGCGAAGGAGATGCTACGACGCGAGTATGAAACTGTGAAGAAACGAGAGAAACAAGAAAAAGCGTTTGAAGCGGTTGCGCAGGACGCGCAAGGATCGCAGTCGTAATGGCTTGGAGTATCGCGGTGGTGCTCGAGACCAAGGGGGTCGTGGACACCGCGGCAGGGAACGTGGTCAGAGGTGTAGCCAGCAGCGTATTCATCAACGGAGTAACACGTTCTTCAGCGGGCTTTGCTTCGAGTGCAACAAGGTTGGTCATAAGCGTGTTGACTGCCCTCAACAACGCAACGAATTTGGTGATGACTCCGGAGAAGTCGTATTTTCGGTCAATAATAGCAAACGTGCATCCGGTTGGCTGCTGGATAGTGGCGCCATCTCGCACATGAGATTTGCACGAGATGAGTTCTGTGAAAATCGGCAGTTAGACGTCCCAATGGCGGTAACAGTGGCGAACGGGCAACAACTGCAAGTATGTGGGGTTGGCTCGGTGCGTTTTGTAATGGAGAACTTCCAAACTGTCAGATTCACGGATATATTGTACGTTCCACAACTGGACAGGAAGATTTCTCTATTGCAGCACTGGTCGCAAAAGGTTCTGAGGTTTTATTCAAGAAGTATCACTGTGATATTCGCCTCGGGAGGAGATTGGTAGCGCGGGTACGAGAGGGAAGCTATTTCCGTGGCCCGCACTGTGCGTCGCTGGAGACACGTCACAAGGAGTTGAAGTGGCTGCAGCATATGTGGGCTCGGCGGACGCGCAACTGTGGCACGCCCGGCTTGGTCTTATTTCAGCAGCAAATATGACGAGTGTGGTGCGTGCGGTAAGTGGAGTGCCTGTTGTGAATAATGCAGCGGGAGCGAGAACGATTTATGCGAGGGATGTGCTATGGGGAAGCTTTA